GACATTAACCAAGTCAGTGTCCACAACCATCACTAAATGAGGCAGTCAGGAAAGGGACGGTGAGATCAAGAGGAGAAAGAGCGCAATCCACTTCGAGAGCAGACACCTTCTACGTGTAAAGCAAGATCGATCACATTGCCATTGCCCTTCCTTACAGTCCTGAAAGCCCTGCAGAGTCTCAGATATTACAATAACACCTAGAACAAAACACAGTGCTTCCTGCACAGTGAGGTCAAGGAGGAGTTAACCTCTAAAGCAGCCTACACTTCGGGTCATGGCCTATGTAAAATAAGTCTGTTCGCTTTGACCTCACACCTATCCTTACGAATGTCTGACTGTACATTTATATTTACCTGTCGTTTAATAGAACAGGTGATTTCAAGGAAAAGTACTGTTGTTCCCAGACTGAAGTAACTAACAGCAGCACACTTGTCAGTGTGTTCTAAGCAGTGCTGGAGGGCCTGCATTTGCGACGTCTGCTTTCTTCATTCACGGGGGAGTTGCAGAAGACACACTGGCAACACCCTCTATGAAAGGAGTCCTAGATGCCACAAGGATGCAGACCTCACTGGTAAGGAAGCATCCCGACAGTATGCATGGTAACCATTGTAAAGTATATGACACTGAGCTCGTCAAACAGAAGCTGTCTCCTGCTGAGACCCTGGCACCAGCATGGATGATGCAGTACCCTTGGCATACATGGCAGTAACCTGTCTTCCAACTTCATGCCAAGAGAGCTCCCAGACTACACCTTTGCTACATTCTATGGGAATCTAGGTATTGCTAGAAAAGAAGCTGGTAATGATAAATTATGAGTTATTATATGCTTCTTGAGAGGTAAAAGAAATAGAATCGTATGTGGTGGTATTGTGTTCCCCAAAATATTGCGCACCCTAATGAACTTATCTGGGGTCAGAGAACAGAAAAGCCACTAGATACAAAGGCTAGAAAATGGTGGCACTCACACCTTTAATCCTAACATTCCAGAGGTAGAAATCCCTCTGGATCTCTGTGAGTTCAAGGCCACATTGGAAACAGCCAGGCATGGTGACACACACCTTTAATCCCAGGTAGTGATGGTAGAAGGTAGAAAGATATACACGGCATGAAGACCAGAAACTAGAAGCATTTGGCTGGTTAAGTTTTTAGGCTTCTAGCAGCAGTTCAGCTGAGATTTATTCTGGATGAGGACTCAGAGGCTTCCAGTCTGAGGAAACAGGATCAGCTGAGAAGTTGGCAAGGTGAGGTGGCTGTGGCTTGTTCTGCTTCTCTGATCTTCCAACATTCACCCCAATAACTGGCCTCAGGTTTGATTTTATTAATAAGTACCTTTAAGATTCCTGCTACAATTGTAATTTTCTTTCTTACTGAATAAGAGTCTTGAAAATCTCTAATTTCATTTTTATTGATTCTCATCACTATTTGATATAGTAAGAATTCCCATTAAAAAAGGGAGAAAAAATAGAATTCCCAGTGAAAACACACGTGATTGCTAACACGCAAATGGACACATACATACACACACGGGAAGGGACACTTGGGCCCCGGTGATACCCACCATACCTGAGGAGAACCATTTTGGGAGAGTCAGTGAAAACTCCATCACATGGTTCCAGTTACCACATGAGTGCCCATTGCTTTGTAGCTATGTTCAGTATTGTCTGAATCCCACTTTATTTAAAGTCTGTCTAGAGAGCCAGGAAATGAAGTCTGTCTGAGGTAGCTCTCCATCATGTCAAGAGAAAAGAAAAATGACTTTCCAGGAATCAGCAATGGCTTCATTCTGATGTCATGTTTTCCTCTTATAATTCTGAACAGACCAATTTTCTCCTTTGTTTTCTTTCTTTGGCAAGATGGTGTAGCTACATGAAGGAGAATTTCTGGTTGACTGGATCAGTTGTTATCTCACTAACAGACATGTCAATATTTTCTGTATAACTTCATTTTTTGTAAAACATTTTTCACTTTATGATTAAACCAACCTTATTCTATTTCCCTTATTTTCTGCCATCAGGTTATGTTTATAAGCCATTTAAATCATAGCATGCGTGCCCCTCACCCCCCACCTCCACCCCCGGCTGTTAGTGCTTCTGGCAGTCCTTCTAGAGGATCTGCAAGGAGTCACCTGCGAAGGAAAGTCAGAGCTGCTTCCTCAAGAGTTAGGTGATTCCTACAGTACATTTGTGTGCACACATTCTCTCTACACTGAAGCATTATAAAGGCAAAGAAAGATGTGTTTGTATTTCTGTATCCCTGGGCTGTGCACACAGACATTAAATATTTACTGAAGACATGAATAAGCAGTGAAAAAAAAGGAAAGGAAAGACAGGTACATGGAGGGAAGGAAGGAAGCTAATAAAAGATTAAGAGGCACGGGTGGTGGGTGGTTTAGAGGCTGCTGGCTCCTGTAAACTTCGTTGCTTAATTATTTCGGTCAGGCTCATAGATAACTAAGTGGTAGACACAGGTAGAGACTCTACAGACGAACATGGGTCCCCCTGTCTTTGTGACAGACTAGTCACTGTTAAACAACCTGATGCAAATTATGGATGATGTCCTGCCATTTCTGTTCATTGTACAGATTTAAAAACGAAAATTAAAACAACCAGTAATCAATCTTTGTAAGAATTCGCCTATCTGTGTTCAGTCTCTGACACACAGAATTTACCATAAAAAACCAACAGGCTTATTTCTTTATAGGTAAACGCACTGTTCAAGGACATTGTCTTCTTTCACACACCCGTGAAGATGAGCTGTGGGCACAGTGTTCCATACTACACTCTTCCTTCAGTCAGAAGCACCTGCTGCCACACAATGTGGCTATGTAGTCTTAATGTGAACCAGGGGTAGAGAACGTGGCTTCTTCCACAGTACACCTCCTCAGAGTTGGGAATCAAATGCCATGTGAGCAAGGCGATGGAATGGGGACAAAGCATCAGTCAGAGCCTTGAGCGACTGCGGCACACAAAAGAGCACTGGTCCCCAATTGAAGAGACTTACTTTTTAGGAATTAAGTACCAAATAATTAAGTCCCATTGGCAAAATGTTTGCATTTCTTACACAGAAAATCAACTGTCCAACATGTGGGATAGTAATTAGAAACAGAACCCTAAACCACCACTATGCACTTGGGTCTCAGAGTCTGAGTGACAGCACTCATTGCAAGTGCCTTCCTAGGTGTCTTGGCAGATACCCACATGCTAGCTGTGTCTAGGAAACATGCTGCCCTACATGGAACACCAAAAGACCCTAAAGCATCCTTGGCTCAGGCATAGCAAGGTGATGCCCATCTGGGGATTTTTATTTCTGTTTATCCTCTAGACACATCCTAAAAGGAGGTGAGTCAGTGGAGGACCGAATATGCCTACAAAGGAAATCCCAGGTAGATCACACCAGAGTCATTTTCCTCAGCAGGCATGTGAAGCCTCCTTGGGAGTGTGATTTCCCTCCAGAAAGCCCAAAGGCTGCACAAGTTGTTTGCGTTTTCACCCTCTCTAAATGATTTGCAAATTTATTCAAACACAATCTGAAAGGATGCTCTATTTGTGGAGGTAACTGTCTGCAGTGTCCTGTATTGAGGGGTGAGGTACATCAAGCAGAAACATGGGCAGAAGCACATTGGCTGAGAAAGCCATAAATCCTTATTTGAATCTGCCAACCTGAAAGCCAGGAGGAGCCGGAATAAACTATTTTTCTTAAATGCTACATCTGATTAAGCCATACCATCAAGTGACAGCTGAACTTTAACATTAATATGATATTATTTAAATAACCACATGATTTTTTTAACACTAAAAATGATGAATGATTTCTGGACAGCTCAATGGACAGAAAGCAGGAGGACTCTTTAATGAGATTTGACAAGATGGAGACATATGCAGAATGCTCGTTACAGCTCACGTCGGTCGCAGGGCCCTCCCCGGGAAGCAAGAGAGGCAGCTCCCCGTTCTTTGTGTTGTCTCTAGGCACTGAAGCATTCCTTTAGCTGCTACAGTCTTCTCTGCGGACTGGGAGTTGTTTTTAGGTCAGTTAAGTGCCCACAGACTTTTGGTTCTGGGTTGGGATGGCCCTCCAGGGAAGGGAAGGGTGGAGGGAAACTTGGTTGGTAATGTCCTGGGAAACGTGGGGCTTACCACTGATGGTGTCATAGAGAAATCACATCAGCTCCGAACATGTAACAATCACACATTTACTTGGTTCTTACACGATAACTGTTCAGCCCCACAAACACAGCTTTGGAAAGTACTGCCCACGGACGCATGAGTAGAGGAGCTCTACCTTCTCACTACAGTTGTCTGAAGAGAAGAATTTTCTCTTTTTAGGCTCATTATCAGCACTCCTCATCCATCTCACTCCTTAGCTCCAAACCGACAAAATCACAGTAGACGATCTTTTTACTTCGTAGAGTGTAAGTGAAAATAGCAAGTTCAGAATAGACTTAGACTATTACCCATCTTTATTCATTTACCTTTTTATATTCTTCTGAATATTTCCTATCAGTCAAAGCTTAGTCACACACAGTACTTAAAAGATTACTCTGATAATTGTGGCATTCTTATAAATCATCTTTAAGTATGTACATGAAGCCACCATGCTTCCCTAAGCAGCCTTCTTCTCAGCAATGAAACAAGACAACAAGCTGGTACTGAGTTCTCTGGATGATGGCAGGCCTGCATTCCCTGTCAGAATTGAGAGGGAAGTCAGTATGCTCCTGCCATGGGCCTTCCTCAGGCTATGAAAAAATGCTTCTTGTCTAACCCTAATTTTTTTCCCATAGCTTGAGGTAAGCCCTCCAGCTCAAGCCTTGTCTCTAATCTGAGTTACTCACTATGTGGGTAACTCAAAAAAGGGTTAAAACCAGTGTTCTGTATTTCAAAAGGGTGTTGACACGGCCTAGGAGGGAAGAGAAGGACCCGGGAGCCTGTCAAATGCCCCATCCCAGTGGGACAGAAACAGTTAAAAAGAGAGAAACAGAAGATCACTCCCTACCTGGCTCTTACCTTCGCAACATCCCCGTCAGGATCCGGGAACTTTTCCCCAAGTTTGCATCTGTTTCCCGAAGCTAAAGGGGAATGTGGTGGGAACAGAAGAACATGGGAGGAACATCAGCACTCAGAGCAGTTTACAGCGCCTGCTGCTGAATAACACCCGAATTCCACGGCAGAAGAGCCAACAGTAAGATGCACTTGGGACACTCACACAGACACACTTGGGACTCTTAACACAGACACACTTGGGACACTCACACAGACACACTTATGACACTCACACAGACACACTTATGACACTCACACAGACACACTTGGGACACTCACACAGACACACTTGGGACATTCCCACAGACACACTTGGGACACTCACACAGACACACTTGGGACACTCACGCAGACTCACAGTTCTTAGATTCAGAGGATGACACAAGATTAAAAGTGTATACTTGAACAGGATATAAAAGCAAATGCCTCATGGATAGTCAGGGTTTAACATTCCTGTGGGAATTTATCTTTAATATATGAATGTGCAAAGTTCTAAAACTATAAATGGAAACAAAATGAGGTTGAGGAAGAATGAGGGTATTTTCATAATCTTTGTTCTGAAAGATTGATGCACTCCAAAATCTCCCTCAGAGGCCTTTTTCTTAGCCATGGAGTTAAATAAAATATTTACCTGAGGGGTATTCTGAGATAAGGGCAAGCCAGCTGCTTGTTCCTCCATCTCAAGCCCTTGTCTTCTCTTCCTATACAGGGCCCTTGCTCACCCTAGTCATTCTTCCACACCTGTCCTTACAGCTACAATGTTACTATCTTGTGTCCATCCCAGTGGCTTTTTATCTACGTCTTCTCATTTATGAACATGTAACTGATGGCATGATCCATACTCACTCGTTCACGTGCTCGCTGTATCTTTTCTCTGTCATGACTAAGGTTTTCCAACATCTCTTGGCCAATTTGCTCTATGGAAAAGAAAAGAAAACGTAAGGAATGGTAACTTAGGGTATATGCAGAGCAGACATACCCCCACCCCCAAAGTACCAGAATGATCATGGATATAGAAGCAAGATTAAAGCAGTGCATCCTTACATACCAGATACATTTTAAGTAACGTATTTGAAATATATAAACAGTATTTGATAAATTTACCTATCTTGAGGATTACTGGGTGCAATTTAAAAGCAGGCTGCAGCCAAGATAGCACCAATGAGTTAATGGTGATGTGACTTTTCAAAGGCCACTCAAATAAATTCCCAGCAAAATGAAGGAGAGCCCAGGTGTAGTGATTAATTACTTTTCACTGTGGAGTACAGTCTTTGATTTTACACACTGAGAGTAACATGGGAGACTCCTGTCCTTCTCTTATGGCATTGTTTACCTATGTAAGCCAATATATCCATTTAGAACAGTTGTGATTTTAATGCATGTAATCCTCAGTTTCTTCCCCTACTGCATTTAGTGGTAGTGAGACTATCTCTTTGCCTCCACTCTCCTGGAAGCAAGAGCTCATTTCATGTGTTATTAGCTGCTGGAGATTCTTGAGTCAAACCAGGTGAGGAGCACTTTACCTTCCAAATGCTTAGACTACTACACAGCACTTAGCTCAATTCATTAAGAGCCACACTGTTGACTGAAATGAAGATTTCCCTGTCACAATGATCTCACTTGCTTGTCACTTGGCAGTCTCTCCTCTGACTACAGCCATTCTATCAGACACTAAGTATGACCTGATCTTGCAAATACACAGCTACTTAGAATGATTTTTTTCAGTTCCATTCACCATTACCAGGAGGTGCCTATCTTACAAAAGAAGAACCTCAAACTGCCTTTGTTAGGATTCGCCACCATAAAAATGGTCACATTCATTGCTGTACATAGATCCCTACACTTTCACAACTCTGAGCATGCCTTCCCAGCCCATGATTTTCCACATAAAAGTATCTCTTTTTGGATGTATTTCAACTTTTTATCACAAACCGCATAGTTTCTCCTTAAGGTACAACTGTAAAACAAACATACATGGTTTCTAGCAGACACATCACAAAAATAAAGACAGTGAATGAAGCCACCAAAGTTGAACATCTTTCATCCTGGTTTTGCATCAAAACTACTAGAAATACTCAACTTTGTCATACTGTTTCTACTGATTTTTTTTTTTTTGGTTTTTCGAGACAGGGTTTCTTGTTTCTACTGATTTTATTTGCTTTAATCATTAAAATATAGCAATTATAATTAATTTATAACAAAAATCTATAATATGTATGATCACCACAAAGTCATTATTTCAGGAAAACATTATTCAATACTACTTCCTATCAAAATAGACCATATTATAATACATGATTTCAAACAAATGGAAAAGAGATTATTGATACTGTGTCTAACATCCCAATTAGTATTCATGGAAAGAATAAAGAACCGGAAGAATGAGGTAGAGAGAAAAATGAAGTCCCAGCAAGGTTTAGACTGTTCTTCTTCCAAGGCCTTGAAGCACAGCCCCTGAGCAGGCAGTCCTGGCTAGCAAATGCAAGAGCCTCAAGTCTGTCAGGTTTGCCAGGGAAAACACCACTCTGAACTGATCTGTAATCCTCTACTCAAGGAATCAATGGAATAAGAGGTCAAGAGTTGGGCTGTTCTTGGAGTCATAAGCCACACCCACAAACTCCTTATTTCTGGTAGGTGACTCAGCAGCACAAGTATTAATCCCATCTTGCAAGAGAGTAGATCTTGCAAAAATGTGGCCCTGGTCATCTTTGTTGGGAACAAAATCCTTCATTTCTTAGCCACTATCTTATATTTTAATACATTAATAAAGAAAATCCCAGCTAAATATATTAGAGATGATCAGTCTTATGGACAAAAATATATACAAAGAAAGTAATATTTGTATATCAAACAAAGCAAATTAGAGGAGATTGCTTTTAATACAATCCTTTGTCCAGATAGCATTAGATATTTAGGGATTATTTAATTTAAAAATTCTAAGATGGTTAAAAAAAATTCTAAGATGGTTAGTTTGACTTTTCTTGAATTACTTAAGTTAAAAACACTCATCAAAAACACCAGTAAAGCATTCAAGAGGGCTGGAGACATGGCTCCGTGGTTATAGTGCTGCCTGCTCTTCCAGATGATCAGTACCCAGCACCCACACTACAGCCTACAACTGTCTCTGTAACCCCAGTCCCAGATATCTGAGCGTACCAGGCATGCACATGGTGCAGAAACACATACAGACAAAACATACACACACATAAAATAAAACTAAGAAATATTACCTGAAAAAAGGGAGTTCCGGGGCTGGAGAGATGGCTCAGCAGTTAAGAGCACTGGCTGCTCTTCCAGAGGTCCTGAGTTCAATTCCCAGCAACCACATGGTGGCTCATAACTATCTATGGTGGGATCTGATGCCCTCTTTTAGCATGCAGGCATACATGCAGTTAGAGCACTCATATGCATAAAATAATTAAAAGAAAAAAGGAATTCAAGCTCACAGACTTGAAATAATGGCAAATGTGACATGTCACGTCTACAATTTTAATTCCTTAAATTTTCTTGTGGTCTTTCACAGGAATAGCTAGCATGCACCTATGATGCAGTTAGAGATGCACACTTTACAGTATCCTTGCTGACACTAAGCATCTTCCTGAGGTTAGGAAACAATGGGAAGCACAAAATAATGCTGATTTTTGCATGTTGCAGCTCTCCATGTCAGTGTGACATGATGAATGAATTCCTGGAAGGAAGACTTCCTTCCTGTCCTTCCATTTTCTCCACAGAGGTCCTGGGAATCATCCTGGTGATACAGCGCTCAAACACATAAAATGAATTGTTTTTACAATTGCACAGAATCAATCATAGCGTCCACCCACAGCCCTTTTATTTATAAGGCACGCACTTGCAGAGGGTCTTTGGGTAACACTGCATCCCCTCTCCAGCCTTTTGCATGCTGCATACAATAGGCATTCAATGCTTTCCTGTCTCCAAGCGAGCAGAACTAAGAAGGAAACAGGTACACAAATCTAGCAGGACACGTCCTGCAGGACCTGCCTGGCATCTCCAATGCAGACAAGATCTAGGCTGAGGAGCGCATATCTCGGAGAGCCTTTTCATTCATAAAATAATATTGGGCAAATTGTATACACTCATCATGAGGTAAACACAAGTGAGTCTTTAAAAGAAATTGGACCTGTACTTTAGCAATGAATGGATTAAAATATTCCCTATGAAAAGTCAGATGTGACTGGAGCTTACATCATGTTACAAATATAGCCGAAGAAAAAGGTGCCTCCAATCTAATTCAGCACAAAATGTTCCATCTGATAAATTCAAAATATATATTTTTAAATTATGCTAGGAGCAGAACGGCCCACTCTCCAGAAGGTACTGATTACTCCTCAGCATGGCTGTACTTAACTTTCCCTTTACAACCTTTGTTAAGGATGTGGTTTCCACAAAATTATTTTTAAAAGTGAAGGACACCAACCAGTTGAGTCCTCTTTAAAATGCCAAGCGGAGACAAGGTTATTTTCCCAACACTTGAAAATGCCATTAGCAACCCAGGAGCATGGGGAAGGCACCCACAATGACTTGGCACTTGTCATCTGGACTGTGTCCTGTTGCACCCAGACTTAAGAGCTGCACTCAGTACTGAAGAATCTCTGGTGTTCCTGACACAGGGAAAGCAGTGTGCCACAAAGACAGTTTTTCACCATCTCTCTTCATTTGAAGCTCAAGACATGTGAGGGGCTTCCACTATGATGTAGAAAGTGTGCAAAGGACCACTTATCCAGACTGCCTCTCACTGCCTATAGGCTTTAACACCCATTCCAAAGTAAGGAAGAATTTCACTTTGGGTTAACTTTAAGGAAAACATTTCTGTGAGCCTTTGTTTCCTTTGAAGTAAAGTGAGGGTCAGACTGGACGACCTGGCTCTAAAATATTAGGACACGACAGCTCTAGACACAAGGTAGAGCACATAAGCAACAGTGTAAGAGCCAAGTCAGGGCTACTGATGCAGAATGCAGGATGCATGCCTAGAGAAACAGCAAACTAGTGAATACACTTTAGGCTTGTGTGTGTGTGTGTGTGTGTGTGTGTGTGTGTGTGTGTGTGTGTGTGTGTGTGTATGCATATTTTAAGGGAATTATGTTTGAACATTCTCTCCACAGCAGCTGAGTGTATATTCTATTTTGCTTTAGGATGATCACATCTATCATTAAGCAATTAAGAAAATCATTAGTGTTACTTTTATCAAAGTCATAGCACCAGAATCTCCCCTCAGTTGCTGGTTTCCTGCAGATAATTAACAGGTACTATTCCCAGGGCCCAGAGACATCAGTCAGAGGAGCTGTGCTCCCAATAACTATGCACTGGAATGAGCAGGTACTATGTAAATTGAGGTTGTTAAACAAAAGCAACAATGTTAATTACAGCTCCATTCAAAAATAAGAGTGAATGGGCTCTATTCTGTGAACCAAGACCAGGACAGCAGGAAGGACGCTCCTTCTCACAATTCAATAAAGAACATAAAAGGCAGGAGATGAGGGCAGAAAACCTGAATGGGAAGCTGTCAAAGCATTCCAAAGGCTCACATGTGGAATTCACCCAACGTGTGTTTACTTAGTGTGTTCAGTGTCATCCAGCTTCCCAGGGTGAATGAATTACTCATTCTAAAAACAAAAAGAGAGAAAACAACAAAAACCCAATAGAACAAAAAAACCTAAAGTGCTGCAAAAGTACTGACAATTGACTGCAAAGTAATTAGAAAGCCCTTTTAGAAATCATTATGGGCTGAGTCAATCACTTCCTGTGCTCCAGTGAACCCGACCACATTTCTGCCACTGCTTATATCGTATTCTAACCATCTGCTCATTCAAGAAGTTACTGTCAGGCTAGCAAACATTTTCATTTTAAATCAAATGCCATTTTAAGCATTTTTCAATTGATTGGAAACAACAATGAA